TAATGTGATGTATTACATTTTTTGATTTGCATATATTGAACCATCCCTGCATCCCTGGGATGCAGTCCTGCTTGGTAATGGTGTATAATCTTCTTGATGATTTGCTGCATTCTGTTTGCCAGTATCTCATTGAAGATTTTGGCATCTATGTTCATTAGGGAGATTGGCCTGTAGTTGTCTTTTTGGCTAGGATCCATCTCTGGTTTTGGTATCAGGGGAATGCTTGTTTCCAGGAATGAGTTTAGAAGTACTGTTTCTCTTTTAATTTCATTAAAGAGTTTGAGGAGTAATGGCATTCAATCTTGTCTAAATTTTTTATATTCTTTAATATTTTTAAAGGGGCATTCTATTATTGTGGTTTTGTTTCATTGTGAATAAATCACATGCGTTTTTTCCCCCTGTGTCATTCAAGGTAGTGAGAGAACAAGAAGAAAGGATTAATTGAAATGTTTATGTCATAAAAAAAGGCCCCTTTCCCATAGTACTATAGATGTTTACATCACCAAGTCTCCCAGCAGATTAGAGTCAGCTCTCCATCTTCTCCTGCCTGTGACTGCCTTACATGCCAGGAGCTGCTGAGAAGGGCCATGACCTACTAATGGGAAGCTAACTGGACATGCAGTGACTAAAGACCTATACGAAAAATCATTCCCTAAATAGTTGTGAACTGACTGAGAGAGGTGAAAAGGATCAGCTAAGCTCACACTGTGCCAGGGCAAGGCAGTGTACTCATTATCAAAGTTCTGTATGTGACCACACTCACCACAAAATTCCAGAGTTATGCAACCTCCTGTGACAAAAAAAGAAAACCACCTTTCAGTGTAGTAGTCTGACTGGTCATGGACAGAATGATCTGCTGTTTGAGTCTATCTCCAGTAGTCACCAAGTGAAGAATAGTTCTAGGTGAAGGTTGTTTCTTGGTAATTTTGCTGGCCTTGAGTAGAGGTTAAATGCCAGTTCTCAGGGCCAACAAGAAAGAAACCAGGGCTCTGAACTGGAGTGTGGGAGGTCTGAGAAAGTCCATCCAGCCAGACAGAAATAAACCAAAGTGGCATCCAGTAAAGCAAGCTGCTTGCTTGATTTTAGCCATTATCAACCTCAGAATCTCAGTTGCTAAAGGCAGATCAGACTCATCCAGTCCAGAAATCTTCAAAACACCACCAGCAAAAAGAAACCATGAAAAATGATTAAAACTTCTACAATGTAGCTCTACTCCAATTACCACACAGTTAAATTAACTTAGACATATAGTGCTTGTTTATAACAAACTAAAAGGTAAATCTAGGATTCTGAGGTTAAAACTTTTTGACAGACACAGCTAAGAGATAGGCAATAGAGACACCTCTTTCTTTTGATGCTCTACTGAGTTTCTTCTGGTGTCCCAATCCTGCTTTTCTTATCTTACTCCAGGCTATGCTGCGTGATGCATTTCTTTTTTTTCTTAAATTCTTTTATTGGTACATTTTAGATATACAATGCATTTACATTTATCACTGGGTACTTGTACCTGTACATGATGTATCCTGGTTCTTATTTTTTCCCCATCAACTGTGCACCCTTCACCCCCTCCAGGCTTCCCTATTTACAAAGACTTTGTTTCCATTTTTTCCTTTTCTCATAGTTTTTCCTTTCCCTTCTTTCCTTTCCTCTTCCCCTCCAACTTCCCCTACTCCTTTGGACCTTTCTTCTTATCAATTATTCATTTTAATCCTTATTTACACTTACAGTTTCTCACACTAGAGAAACTATTCAGTGTTTACACATGTGTGTCCTATTTATTTCACTTAAGAGCATGGCCTCAATATGCATCCATTTAGCTATAAATGTCCCTAGTTTCTCATTCTTTATGGCTGAGTAGTATTCCATTTTTTAAAAAAACCACATCTTCTTTATCCAGTTTCCAGTTGATGGGCACTTGGGCTGTTTCCAAGCTTTAGTTATTAGAAACTATGCTGCTATAAACATGGGTGCACACATATCACTATGGTATGATCCTTTTAGTTCTTTTGGGAAAATACCCAGCAGGGGAATAGCTGGGTCAAATGGGACTTCCAGTCCTAGTTCTTTGAGCTATTTCCATACTGATTTCCACAGTGGTTGCACCAGTCTGCACTCCCACCAACAACAGAGAAGCGTTCCTTTCTCCCTACACCCCCCACCAGCATTTGTTATTGGTTAATTTCTTGATAGCGGTCATTCTTTCTGGGGTGAGGTGGAATCTCAGTGTTGTTTTCATCTGCATCCCTCGAATGACTGGTGATGTTGAACATTTTTTCATATATTTGTTTGCTGCTTTTACTTCTTTGTCTGAGAAATGTCTGTTCATTTCAGATGCCTATTTTTGAATTGGGTCTTTAAATTTGGGAGGTCTGATTTTTTTCAGTTCTTTATGTATTCTAGATACTAGTCCTTTGTCTGAGGTACAGTTGCTAAAATTTTTTTCCCACATTGTAGGTTGTCTCTTAGCTCTGCTGGTGGTTTCTCTTGCAGTGCAGAAGCTTTTTTAATAAGATGAGATCCCAGTTGTTGATTCTTTGTGCTAGCTCCTGTCCTACTGAGGTTTTGTTCATAAAGCCTTTTCCTATGCCAATGTCTTTAAGAGTTCCACCTAACTTATCGTCCAGCAAGTTTAGTGTTTCTGTTTTAATATTTAGATCTTTAATCCACTTTGATCTTAGTTTAGTGCATGGTGATAGATATGGGTCTAGTTTTAATCTTTGGCATGTTGAAATACAGTTTTTCCAACACCATTTATTAAATAGGCTATCCTTCCTCCAATGAGGGTGGTTGGCTCCTTTGTCAAAGTTGAGGTGGCTGAGTATGTCTGGAGCTGTTTCTGCATCTTCTAATCTATTCCACTGATTCTTGGGTCTGTTTCTTTGCCAGTACCATGCTGTTTTTAGGGTGATGCATTTGAGGGCAGAAAATTCTCAACTGTAACATTATCCCAAGTCCACTTTTTAGCATCAGTGCTGGAGACAGGGCAGTGAGGCTTGCAGTGGTTAAATGACTCATCCAAGGGCTTGTTTGCTATAGTCCCCAATGACTTCTCCCTCTTATTTAAATAATCCCGAGGCTCAGAGAATTCTCCCTGTTTCCTGTCACAGAACAGTCACATGCCTTTTAATGGGAACAGTAATTCCCACAAAGCAGGACAGAAAGAGCCAGGTGTGGTTGTGCACACCTGTAATCTCAGCACTTGGGAGGCTGAGGATGAAGGATTGCTGCAAGTTTGAGGCCAGCCTGGGCTACTTAGTGAGTTCAAGGCCAGCCTGAACCACACAGAGAGACCTTGTCTGAAAAAACAAAAACGAACAAAGCAAGACAGAAATATGGATTTCAGGACCCTTCTTACACTACAGTTTAAGGGGTTCCCATGCCCAGTTGGGGTGTCACTGTGGAACCAGTTCCCTTCACCACCACAGAGGGTACCATGAGCAATCATTTGAGCCAGTTTGTTTGTGGGATGATCGGCCAGGGGAGTTTGCTGGAAGAAGTGACTTTGAGGTTGGTTGTTATACTCCGGTCACCATTGTTCAGTGCTACAGAGCTGGTGCTGAGTTTGAGCACAGAATAAAGAGAAGGAAACCACTAGGATATCTGTTGGCTCATAGTGACTTCATGCCAGTTAGAAACATGGCCCCTCCCTCCAGAGAGTGAACTGCTAAAAGATGCTGCCTCCATGTGAGCCATTTCCAGAAAAGACCCCCTTTGCAGCTCTTGCCAGCCATGGGACTTGGTCAGAAGAGTCTGGACATTAGCCCCACTCTGGACCTCTCAGTGGTCAAAAGAGCAGAGTTGTTCAAGGCAGCTCCAGAAGAAGGCTTGGGCATGAGGTGCTGAGACTCAGTTTTTTGTATCAGTCCATGTAGCAAAGATGTTACCAGCTAGGGCTGCGGGTATAGTTCAGTGGCAGAGAACTTGTCTGGCATGTACAAAGCCCTTGGTTCAATCCCCAGTACCCCCAAAATAAAGATTGCTACTGAGATGGTGAAAGGAGCTCTTCCTTTAAGCCTTAATGTGTATCATTTCAGTTACTCTTTTGTGAGGCTGTTTTACAGATGAGGAAACTAAATCTTAAGAGCATAAGATTCTGATTTTTTTTTGGTACCGGGGATCGAACTTGGGTCCTTGCACTTGTGAGGCAGGCGACAGAACTACTGAGCTAAATCCCCAGCCCAAGATTCTGATCTTTATCTTGCTATTTTTATAGCATTCATTATCCCCCTTCCCTGGTTTATTTTCTCCACAGCTCTTACCCCTGTTACTGTGTATTCCATTTTTCATGACTTATGGTTTTAATTAAAAGTCTTCCACTATAAATTCCAGGCTAATAAGACTAGGGTACTTTGTATTTACTAAGATTATGTTTTGCCTGATGATAGGTTCATTTGATTTTTCTTTTTTAAGGGAGGATCTCATTATGTTATCTCAAACTCCTGGTAATAGTCTCCAGAGTAACTGTGATGACAGGTGCACACCACTAACCCCAGTTTATGGCTGATTTCTTTGATGATTCAAACAAAATTGTCAACCACTGCTATGCTCTGTTAGAAATTACCATAAAGCAATACAGAATCTCTGACAAAGTTTCTGTGCTGACCTGCTCAAAGTTTGGAGTCAACAACTCCTTCAAAGTAGAATTCTTTTGTTAGCTACTAAAGTTTGGCATGCTAAGTATCATGTTTCAGATCTTAAGGTTACAAGTGTTTGTTAGGCTTTTAGAAACAACACAGAACTGACATTTCTATTCATTTTACATAATCTTTGGCCTGGTTTATTAAAAGTTTGCCTTATGCAGGACACTGCACTGCATCATATTGTTGGAGGAACAAAGGGAGCATTCAGAGATGATCTCTGCCCTCCTGGAATTTACACAATGAAAGGAAGAAAGCACAGAGTTTTGCATACTCTAGCGCCCAACAATAACTGTTGACTTTTTATTTGAAGTCAGGGAAGCCTGGCAACCAAAGACGGTTTTATTTCTCTCCCTGGGTTTACGAGAACCTAACTGAATTGGAAAACGTTATTTGCTTTAACGAAACCATTTACTCTTGTGCAACTTTAAATTGTGTCAATCAAGCAAAGAAAGGAAGAAAGCCTTATTTATAAAATTGTCTGCTTCTGATTTTACTTCATTGCTTCTCCAGCTCCAAGAGAGGAAGAAAATGAAGCTTTCTGTGCTTGGCATTTTTCTGTTTTTATGTAGTACTCCAGCCTGGACAAAAGATAAGCATTATTACATTGGAATTAATGAGACAACTTGGAACTATGCCTCTGACAAGGAGGAAAAGACACTTATTTCAGTTGACAAGTAAGTCACTATTTTTATTGTTTATGGACTGAATCTACAAATTATGAATTTAAACATAAAGCCAGTAAAATGAAATATTTCTTTAATTTGTTACACACAGAAACTGCGAAGCAGACTTGAAATCCAAGACACTTTAATCAGTCTCCTCTATATTCTGAATATTTTTCACTAGACAGGAAACTTAATCCTTTCCTGTTGGTCTTGGGAAATGGTGTTGGCTGGCCAGTCACTATTGCTTCTCCCGTCAGCATTCCTTTTGTCTGATGATGCAGAAGATTTTTAATTTAAACAAGGACTGTATAGAATGTTATATTTATGATACCATATGCTGCTTAATAAGGGTAAGGATGAAATTTTAAAAATCTTTCTAAACATCATTTATAGAAATAAAATACAACTTTAACAAATATGATTCTTCCTAATATTTGTTGGGTCACCCTGCAAAGTGAATGAATAGAATTCATCTTTCACAGTGTCAAGTCTCCGTCTGTATAGGGGATAAGAATCACACCTCATAGGGTTGTTTGAAGAGTGAGTGGATGTAAAACTCAGCATGGGACTGTACTTGGCAATCACATATATGTACAAAAAGTGTTAGATAATTATTTTGTGGCCCTGAGAAAACTCTATGTAGTTGAAATGTATGTTTTCATGTTTGATTTGAAAGCCCCTTTGTGTCAAGCAATATTCACTATATTCAATAAAGCAAAATATACAGGTATCATTTGAAGTTTTTTTATCATGGAACTTTATTTATATTGAGGCCATCATTTTAAATAATGTTAATTAAACATTTACCACCAAATGGAAATTGTGCATTCAAAACCAACACTCATTACATTAACAGATGTATTTTAATGGTGATTAAATACAAATAAGCCCACTGACCAGCAACTGCTGAGATTGTATCTTTAAAACATAGTTAAATAAATATGCTAAATATCATATCTTATTAATGAATATATACCATCCTGTTTAATTTTATATATGGTTGAAATTTTTCATGCAAAAAATAAATGCATAGCTGACAATAATATCCAATTGCTATGTCATTAAGTTAGTAATATGAAGTAAGGAAAATTCTGACCTAAAGATAACTGGGTATAAAGACAACTAGTGCATCTTGCAACTATTACTTTTTGAAACCTGGTTTAGCAATAGTATTCTCTTCTTAGGAGTACGCCATATTTTTATAGCATCACTTGAAACGTTATTTTGTATAGATTCAATGTTATCCTGGTTAAATACAATGTAAACTACATATGATTTTTATTTCTAAGGAAACAAGTCAGGCATATTAAAAAGTAAAAATGCTAGGCTCAGAGGACAGCTTAGTGGTACAGCACTTGCCTAGCGTGCACGTGGACCTGAGTTTGATCCCTATTGTTGCAATAAATAAATACATAAAGAAATGTGTTGCCCTGCTCCATGCCACCATTAACTGCCTGCTATTTTTCATTGTCAAAACTCAAATCAGTTTACTGAGCACAAACTTAGTGCAAGACAGTTCCCCAACTATGCTCCAATAAAGAAGTCTCTAACTAGAAATTAGGAAACACAAGAGTGAAAGAGATTGGTAAAAATTTGGTGGGAGGATTCATTTATTTTCAAATACTCTTGTGGCCTGCCCTTCCAGGGAGGCTATACAGTGGGTATAAACTTAGTTACACCATTGTTACTTAATAGAGATACTTAAGAAAAGAAAATCTGTGCACTCTCCAGTTGAAGTTCAGCTTTCTTTTTGCGTTTGAGCTATAATCTTTTGTGGTTTCAATAGCGGCCTAGACTTTTGCAGACCCTGGGTGGGATTGGTCACATGGTCTGTGATTTTTTTTCCCATACATCTGAGCAGTGACCACAGCTTTACAATTTTGCCAATATTTTATTAAACTTTTTGCATAGATGAGTATGATAGCAATTTTTTGTTCCCTTCTTTGTCCCAGATTTGCAACCTGTCCAGCCCAGTCAATGAAAAATGATAAGAGTATTACTAGGGATGGTTAGCTCTCTTGTGTGATGGCTAAAAAGAAGTAGAAATAAACAATATTAGGAATAAGATGTGAATGAGTGCAAGATGAGTGTTAGGTAGAGAACTGGGTTTAAGTTGGGTATGACCTTAAAGGTCTGGGATCATGAAGAAGATATATATTAAGATGGCAGGAACTCTGTTATGACCACGGCTTGATCACTAGTACCTAGAGCACAGGTACTAATATTTATGAATATATGAGCACCAATGAATAAAGGCTTGTATTTTTTTTTACTTTGTTGGCTAAGAAAATAGAGTTCTGCTTTTAATTCCAATATTATTTCTTTCTAATGGGGTAGATGGAAAGTAATTTACTTATAATAGTTCCTGATTCTAATTATTTATAATAAGAATTAAGACTATATACATAAAAATTAGTCAATACAGGGGGCTAGGGATTTAGCTCAGTGTTTCCACCACCTGCCTAGCAAGCGCAAGCTCCCCAGTTCAATCCCCAGTACCCCCCCCCAAAAAAATTAGTAAATACAACAGTGTGTTCTTGGCTCATAGTAGGCATCATTTAAATATTTATTGAATTGACTATATAATAGCAAAAATAATAATACAATTTTAAAAAAATAATAAATATAAAAATAAAATATAATAAAAATAAAACAAATTTAAAATATAGTGATAAATAATAAATATATAATAATATATAAATAATAAATACATAAAATTTAAAAATAAAATATAAAATAAAATATAAAAGTAATAATACTATTGTTTTTAGGTTACTTTTTTCCAAGTGACCTCTAGAAAACTGGAAATAAGTGAAAATGTATTTAACCACAAGAACAGACATTAACAAACCCTTCCATACGTGACTCTGTAGGCTCTCACTCAGGCTTGGTGGATTTCTTAATGTACGGGTTTTACAAACTTTGTTACCTAGTTTTCCAGCCCATTGTAGGTTTGAAAAACAAATGATACAGTGAGGGTGTTATTACGAGTAGACCCAAAGGCTAAGAAGCAAAATAGCTCAAATCCTGACCATGGAAACAGACAACAAACTAATGCCACACCACTGTCCAGTACAATGATAATTAAAATGTGATCTTGGGCGATCAGAATGCAATGTGCTCAATAAATGCTCATCTTCACTACTGTTATGAGCAAAAAGGTGACTTTCTATTATATCCTGTTTAAGAAAACAGGGAAGAAAACAAAGTATTTTAGAGAAAAATCCTGCACTGAAGCCGTTTATTTTATCCCTGTTAAAAGATAAACTTAGGTACACTAAAAATTTAACAAGTCTATTTCAGCATTCAATAATTTGTGAATCTGGCTGCAGGAGACACAGAGGGTTCACCTAAGGGTGGGGAGAAGGAAATTTTATGAGGTGTTTAAGGAAGCAAGATTAAGAAAATGTGTCTGATTAAAGTGGAAAATCCCTAGAGTCTGGTTGGTAAAGCCTCCAGTTAGAGATTAGAGCTAGCTAAGCCTGATGGCTTCCCAATTAATGATTTTTAACATCCTCCCAAAATTAATTTTAAAAATTTTAAGTGGTTCTTAAAAGAAGTACAATTTTTAGGTAAAATTACCTGAAAAATTCACTTACAGTGACTCATTCTCTAAAGTTGCTGAATAAAAATCAATAAGCAATAGCTACTGTGGTACAAACACTTCATACAAGATAGCCTTATTAAGGAAGTAATTAAATGACTACAATATTTCATACTTTTCAAGCTCTACAATTTATTATCATAGTTTCTATTTCTTCTGAGAATAGTGAAAATGGAAGGTTGATCATTAGGTACTACATTCATGTTGCACTGGTGAAGCAAGCCTTGTTTAAAAAAAAAACAAAAAAACTATTGTTCATGTAAGTTGTTGCTACATAGCCCAGAGTGAGTCTCTGCCAAGTTCCTATTTCCTTATGACTGCTGTGTGTAGTAGGCAGCCCCCAAAAGATGTCTTGCTCTGAGTCTCCAGAACTTGAGTAGGATGAACTACCACCCTCACAGTTTATGTTTTAGTCAATGGCACAGCTGACTTTAGGGATACTGTCTGGGTGTCCTCATCTAAATGTAGAGTCCTCTAGTGGCAGAAGAGAGAGTCAGAGATTGAAAGAGATGTGAGGAGGATTCCACACACTATTGCTGATTGAATGGTGGAAAAGGCCGCTTGGGAAGCATGTAGGTGTTTTTAAGGAATGGAGAGAGACCCCAGGCACAAGCAAACAGGAATTTCAATCTTACGATATCAATAAACTGAATTCTGCCCATAGCCAGACTGGTCTAAGAAGCAGATTTTCCCACAGGGCCTCAGACAAATGCTTAGCCGAGCAATCCCTTCATTTCAGCCTTGTTATGTCCTGGTCAGAGAATGCAGTCATTAGGCATCAGACTAATGACTCAGAGAACTGTGAGGTTATAAATGAGTATTAGTTCAAGCTGCCGTGTGATTGTCATGCAGTAATTAAAGTCTAACACATTATTTCTCAATTAATGAAGCCAAACATTCAAAAACTTTTCAGCTATAATAGTCATGTTTTTTAGTAATTATGTATAAACATAAACAGAGACCATTTGAGTGAATTCTAAATTCATGAGAGGAATAGTATTATTATTATCTTATTAAAGCAATATAGAAAGATCCCCTATCTTTAAAAACTTGCTTCTGGGTCTGAGTCTACCATAAATTGTAGGAGTTAGCATTTTATTTTAAAGGAGGATAATAAAAATAGAAAATTTTGTTATTGGGAGGGAAACATATCTACTGTAATGAATAGAAAGGAGCATATTACGGTTTTCAAGAGAAGAAACTACAATTTAATACGAATTATTTGTTTGGTTCAAAGACTGATTATAATAGATTCTTGTGGCTGAATAGCTGACTGGCAAACTTCCTGCAAGCTTCCAGTAACTGACCCTTTGTCCTCAAGCTGTGCTCTTGAAATTAAATAGACATTCCCTGATGACCTTTTGATGTTTCTTTGGAGACAGATCATAAGCAAATAGACCTCCCAAAAAACCATGTGATGTGAAATATTTCCCAACTTGGTTAAAGGGAATTCACAGTAAAAAGGCAAGATGGAAAAGCCAGTTTACATACTGCAATACATAAAAAAGGAATTCCAAATGTTAAAAATTTTTTCTATACTACATTATAGTTTCAAATCAATTATTCTAGAAGTAGTTTTTCACACATCCTCCCACTTCAAAAAAGTATTTGTGTAACATGAGATAGAGAAGCCAGAGAGTGAAAGGTAAGGGATAAGAAAACAAATAAGATTTGTTATGTATGTCTACCAACCTCTCACAATAAATGTTACCATTATGTACTGCAAACATATACTAATAAATAAAAATAAATTGTTACACTGGGGTTTGAAAAAAAAGAAAAAATGAGTTAAAAAGCTAGGCAATTTCTCCCCTATTTTACAAAATGATATGTGTGTATGTATGTTTTGAGACAGGGTCTCACTTTGTAGTTCAGACTGGTCTTGAATTCGCTATGTAGCCTAGGGTGGTTTCAAACTTGTCATGATCCCTCTGCCTGAGCCTCTAGTGTTCTGGGATTACAGGCATATGCCACCATGCCTGGTTTAAGAAAGGATTAATTCAGGAAAATTTTAATGTAATGAAAGCATTTTGACAAAGCTTTCTATAGTATATTGAAATGTGATATAAGTGCTATAGAGTCACCTTCAGAAAACAAAAATCCACACTATTTAAATAAAGCCTTAAGAATGTGAGCACTATATTTAAACTTTGGCTTATGTAAAATGTGTATTAACAGGGCATGGGAGAGCACATCTCGATTAAATATTATCAGAGTAGTCTCCTAGAAACAGGAAGTTATCTGGACCCTGAAAAAAATTTACTGGGGGTCTTAAACATGCCCATATGAGATAATTATTGGCCCAAGGTTTTTCTGGAGGGGCCAATATGGAGCTCCATCTTCTGTGTAGACTTTGCAACTGCAGCTATGTGTCTGATTGAAATTGTAGTCTTGTTGACCTGTCTCAGCAGAATGGACTAGATGAATCTCTGCTTTTAATTGTGCTCTTCAGTGCCTCACTGTTTTGCTGTTGTTAAAGCATTATATGTATTAAAATGCCTCCTGTCCATACTAACTCTGTGGGCTTGGGGTTGAGTTCACACCTATTGCACTTTTTCCATGCATTCCCATGTCCTTCAGTCTCTCTGAACCATCCCTAATTTGGGGGGATGGTGGAATTTGCTCCAACATACTGGAAAACTAACCAACAGTAAGAAGATAAAAACAAATAGGAGAAAGGAGAACATACCTATGATTTTTCTGCTTTACATTGGGTGCGAAAATATCACTTCAGTTTTCTAACTTCCAGCTTGGCCTTCTTACCAGATGAGTTTGTTGGGGGCAAGAAAACATCATCTCAGTCATTTTTTAGTGAGCATCGCCTGCTTTGGGAATTCCTTGAGGTTATGCAATCCTGGATGTCTTAGTTACTTTTCTTGTTGCTGGGACAAAATATCTGACACCCATACTTTAAAGGAGGATGTTTTTTGCAGCTCACGGTTTGTAGAGGTTTCAGTCCATAGTCTGCTGGCTAGGAGGCAGAGCAGCATGGCAGAGGGCCATTGCAGAGAAGAAATAGTTAATGGCAAAGCAAGGCAGGCAGGAAGCAGCAAGCAGTGAGGCTGCCCTTTTTTCTGTTGCTTTATATTCCATTCAGGCTACAAATCTATTGGTTGGTGCCCCCCACACCCAGGGTGGGGCCTCCACTATCCATACCTAGAACTATGCTAAACCAATTTCGTTAACACACACCCTTAATCCATATTCACACACCCTAGATCCAGCCATCTCCAAAAACCCCCACCTCTGAACACATGAGGCTTTGGGGGGACATCTAGATACAAGATATAACACTGGAAAATTGAACTTGTCCATATATGGTGGTAACTATGGGATACTCATCATAGAAAGCCCCTGATCAATATAGATTCAGAGAAATATGTCTCTGTTACTACGTACCTGTTTTCTCTGCCCAAACTCAGCTACCAGGACTACTGCTAAACAACCATGTACCCTGACCACAGGGGTTTAATTTGTGGAACTACCACCAGCAGAGATCTGGCCATTACTATGATATGGCCTAGAAACAGAACCTCTCACCTTTCTATCTCATGGAATCAAGGAATTTTACCACCTCTGGGACTGGACTGGTGTCTTCATTTTCAATCTTGAAAGCTTTCCCACTCAGGTTACCCATGAGCTCAGACCAGCTTGCCCGAACCAGACAGGTGTTTTATTTTGTTTTGTTTTCCGGTGCCAGGGATTGAACTCAGGACCTTGCATTTGACAGATAGGCCCGGCTCCACCGAGCTATAACATCCCCTGCCCAACCTGCCTGAACCAACATATGCAATAAGAATCAAGGAGCTGGGCTCCAGGACTTGAATTTTGCCTACTGCCTCGGTAGTTAATTATGTACGGTGAAACTTAAGAAACACTAGGGTAGACACCTAGACTTATAGAAAACTTATGGAAAAGGTCTTTAAACTCTGTGGCAATGAAAATCAAGAGCTCCTGGACAAGCTCTGCTCTTGTATTGAAGAATGGAAGTAAAACTATATTTCACTCTTTCTGATGAGCTTACAGCTGAGGAAAATGATGAAGTTTATTTTTCAAGCAAGTTATCCTGCTGCTCTGCCCCACAATGATAAGGTGTCAAAAATGCTGAGACAAAAACAAGAACACACACACATACACACACACACACACACACACACACACACACAAATTCAAGATCATCCCCAGTGCAAGCAGTTTTTCTTCAAGTAGAAGAGACTTTGGTTGTAGAGGGGCTAGCTGAAGCCCAGGATTTAAGTGCATCTTTCTAAATGACAACACATTGCTCAATAATAGGTCCCACTGAGTTATCTAGAGCTATCAGTTAAAGTCAGTAATTTAAGGATCGGTTTAAGTTCAAATACCAAGTTCATTTTTATTCTTTTCTTATTTTTTTTCTCTTGGTTACTATTTACTAAGCTTATATATTTAGGAAACTTTTAGGTGACTACTAATTGACACTACTCACAACATACACTTTCAATGTCAATTATCCGCTGTAGTGAAGAATTTAAAAAAACAAGAGATAGTTTAAATCCAAAGATAATTTAAAACCCACTCACATTGTATGCATCAATTCTGATCATCATTTAGAGACACTAAAAGAAATAAAAATGATAGAATAATAAACTGTCATTAAATTTTACAGAAAAAGTGCATATACGTATATTACATACAAACTTTGATGTCATATATTCACAATGATTCCTTATAATAACAAGTTTTTCCTGTAGCTAAGGGCTATACCACAGTGAAAACAAAACCTAATTGCTTTATTATAATATTTCACTTTAACTGTCATTCTACAGTATTCCAGAATGCCTCTATTTTATATGAAAATCTTGAGAAATTTACCCAGTAATATGTATCACATTTTTATGATGACTGCAGATAGTCCTCTGCCATATACCTGATATGAAACACCTCACATAAATAAAATGATGAGACTAAACTCCAGGATTCCTTTTCATTTTTGGAGGCTTCCCTATAATAGGAAAACATTTAATATGATATAGTTATTAATTTTCTTTTAGTCATAATGTAATTCCCAGAAATGTTGGCTTCTGATAAAGTTGTCTTTTTCTTTTGCAGGGAGCAGTACAATATCTATCTTCAAAATGGCCCAGACAGAATTGGAAGAATATACAAGAAAGCCCTCTATCATCAGTATACAGATGAAACCTTTAGTGAAACTATAGAAAAGCCAGATTGGCTAGGGTTTTTAGGCCCTATTATAAAAGCTGAAACTGGAGATAAGGTTTATATACATTTTAAAAACTTTGCCTCTAGGGCCTACACTTTTCATGCACATGGAATAACCTACTATAAGGAGCATGAGGGTAAGTTCAGCACATGCGGGAGCTGGAATTTCCTTTGACTTTTCAGTAACCAAACATCTCTCTGTAGCAGTCACTTTTTTCTTGCTGGGACATAATACCCAACACCCACAACTTAAAGGAGGAGAGGTTTATTTGAGCTCATGGTTTCAGTGGGTTCTGTCCATGGTTAGCTGACTTCAAGGCAGAAGCCACATGGCGGAAGGGCCTGGTGGAAGAAAACTGCTTAACCCATAGTGACCAGAAAGCAGACAGAAAAGGGAAAACTCAGGAACAAGAATATGTCCTTCCAGGTCACACCTCCAGTGACTAACCTCTTCCTTCAAGGCTCTACCTCCTAATAGCACATTCAGGTATGAACTCATGAATAGATTCATCCACTGAAGAGTGTAGTTCTTCCATGATCCAATCACCTTCCAAAAACCCCACCCTTGAACACATAAAACTTTTGGAGGACATTTTAGATCTAATCTATAACATTCGCCTTTTGGACAAGACCTGTACCTATGTCATTTAGCTCTACACCATTTCATCAAAAAGTACTTTGGTTCATCATTATAATGTTGTGTTTCTCCTGGTTGTGCAAATTGGTGTAAAGTGTGAATGTCATAGATTTCTGGGTGGACTCAGATAGTGAAAGTCAGTGAAAGATGTGGCCTCTTCCAGGGTCTAATTCCTTTCCAGCCAAATAAGAAATATAAATAAGAATAAGAGAAAATAGAATATGTACTTTAGCCTACAATAGGCAAAGCTCCAGAGGGAAAAGAAAGGTCTCAAAATGGGGATTGTCTTATCCCTGAAATTTCTACACATGTTAATATTGTAACTGCTGTCACTTTCCATCCTAATTTTGGATAAACTAGTTTAGGTGGCATGAGTCATCTTATACATTAGGCAAATATTACATGTGGCTAGGTGACACCCGAGTCACATGTGAGACGCAATTAACTGAAGAGTCATTCGAATGTCAGACTTAGCACTTATAAAGAATGGTACATGTTGGGCATGGTGGCACATTCCTATAATCCCAGGATGTAGGAGGCTGAGACAGGAGGATCAAAAGTTCAAGGCAAGCCTGGGCAACTTAGTGACTGAGTGAGACCCTGTCTCAAAATACAAAATAAAAAAAGGACTGACAAAGATGAGATTTGATGCCTGTGATCTCATTCATGGTATAGGCTGAATGTCTTTTATTCAAAATTTTTGGGACAAGAAGTGTTTTGAATTTCAAGAGTTTTTTGTTGTTTTTTTTTCTTCAGATTTTTAGACTGTTTGCATATACATAATGAGATATCTTGTCAATGGGACCCAAGTCGAAACACAAAATTCATTTATGTTTTATATACACTTTATACACATAGGCTGAAGATAATCTAAATACATATATTCAATAATTTTGTCAATGAAACAAAGTTTCAGAGTATGGCATTTTTATGTTGATCTTCAAATAGTTTTGGATTTTGGAGTAGTTTGATTTCAGATTTTTGGACTGGTGATGCTCAACTTGTGCTTGATGATGATATCAAAAGAAGTGGTTTTTATTGTGGGTAAGAGCAGGACTTTGAATTAATAGGCCAAGGCTGAGTCTCAGTGTATTAATTAAGTTAGGTTCTTTAGAAGAACAGAATCAGTAGAAAATATACGGATAATTATGCAAAGGGATTTATTAGGTAAGCTTACAGGATCAGAGGCAGGAAAATCCAAAATGGCCATCTATGTGCTGGAGAGATAGGAAGTCCAGGAGCTGCTCAGCCCAAGAAGGTGGAAGAATGAGAGGGACCAAGGATACAGCACCAGTCCAAGGTCGGAGGTCTGAGAGCTCGCTAGAGAGTCTTTGGTGCAAGTTTGCACTGGAAGGCTGAAGAAATGAGACCAGGAGACCGATGACCAGAGGTGACAATGTGAAAGATGCACTTGCTTGAGAAGACTGGACCTCTTCAAAATGGGCACACTTCCTTCCCTTTTTCTTCTATCCAGGTTATAAACCTATTAATTGGAGTGGCTCTTCCCTCTCTGTTTGCTGGTCTACATGTCAATTGTCCACAGACACACCTAGCACCATGGTTTGCTAATCTGCTAGGCATTTCTTACTCCTGACAAATTAACATATCACAATTAATAGTCACACCTAGCTTAACCTTTTAATGGAGAGGTGACATTTACCAAGATACCTAAATTGTGCTTTAGTTTTCTTGTCTATAAAATAGGAACAATAAAAGTACATATAATAGCTTAATAAACATAAGCAATTATCATTAGAAAAATCAAAGTCATGCTACAGTTCTCTGAAATTATGAAGGTTAGCTCTGAAAATTAGTATAAAACTAGATTGATTAATTATTATCTTTTTTTTTTTTTGGTACCGGGGATTGAACTCAGGACCTTGCACTTGTGCAGCAGGCACCGGAACCACTGAGCTAAATCCCCGGCCCTGATTATTATCCTTTTTAAAAAAGGAATTGTTTTAGAAGGTAAATGTTTACATTATCTCCTTTTTCAGTTTGTTTTTCTAAACAAAACAACTACCTTAACAGTGTAAATGACTAGTTGTCATCTCTTTTTCCATTTTACAATTTCACGTTATATTAAAAATTAGCATTCATTTTCAAAGTATAATAATAGTATTGTCCTCCTCCCCCTCTTACTCCCTCTCTTTTTCCTACTCCTCCCCCTTCTCTTCCTCCTCCTCCTACTCCTACTCATCTCCCTCCTTCTTTGTAGATTGAACCCAGGGCCTTTACACTGGACTATATACCCAGCTCATTTTTAGTTTTTAGTTTTAAGACAGGGTCTCACTAAGTGGCCAGGCTGGACTCCAACTTACAATCCTCTTGCTTCAATCTCCCAGTTGCTGGGATTACAAACATGGGCCACCATGCTGGGCTTTTGTGCTTTTCTTAAAACAAAACAAAGGCAAAAAAATGGTCTCATGTTTTAGACATACATACTCAGGTATTTATGAATGTAATATGATTTCTGGAATTTGCCTTAAAATAATTCAGCACTGCTGGAGATAAGAGTGAGTAGGGTTATGGAGGAAACAAAATTGGCTGTGAGTTTATCATGGTTAAACTGTTTGAATGGTACATGGGAGGTTCAAGCAATTTGGAGAAATATGGAGGTTCATCACAACTTCTGTATTTGACAATTTCCAAAATACAGAGTAAAAATTTTTGAATGTCTATTGTCACTTTACAGGAAAAATCTGATATTATATAAGAAGTTGCCAATTGTAAAAAAGGGAAGTCATTTTTCTTGGCCTTTGATACCATTGTGGCTCTAAGGCACAAGCTGCCCTTTAAATTGCAAACCAATATTCACTATCCCCAAGACATATCTATTATTGCTCTCTGAAGGCTCAATCAAGTTTCAAAAATAATAAAAATCCACATGAAGTGTCTACATCCCTAACTCTTAGTCTCTCAATTCTGTGTTCCAAGAGGTCATCACTGCACCCCCAAGAGGCATCTATTAAATGTTGAAAGTTTGCTAAAACAATTGATGGACTGTTAAGTTAAAAAAAAATTCACTTTGTAATTCCACTGTATCCTCTTTCTAGGGGCCATCTATCCTGATAACACCACCGATTTTCACAAGGCAGATGACAAAGTGCTTCCAGGAGAGCAGTATACATACATATTGGATGCCAATGAAGAACAGAGTCCTGGTGAGGGGGACAGCAATTGTGCGACTCGGATTTACCATTCCCACATTGATGCTCCAAAAGATATTGCTTCAGGACTCATTGGACCCTTAATAATCTGTAAAAAAGGTACATTTTCTCACAATTGCTCAAATTATCCCATGTCCCTACAGGACAGGGTAGTTTGATTTTATTTATTTATTTTTTAAATATATCAAACTTTTTCATGTTGATGTTGAGTAAGGGAGACAGAAGATGAATTTAGAAAAAAATGAAGGTGAGAGCTGGGATGATTGGCAGATGGAGGTATAAGTGAAACAGTCCTTCGTGTGGGGAAGCCACCAAAGAAGCTGAGCTACAAGAAGTAGAGCTTTTTTGAGCATAGATCTTCGGGATTTAACTTCCAACAGTGATATTGAAGAGACCAGATGACTTTCCCACATGTGAAGATTCCATAAGTGGCCCCTCATGGTGACAGAGCTGAATTATCTGCATTACACTGGTAAATATGGTATCATAGGATTTATTGGTACCATCATGAAAAAGGCAACATAGTTCAGGAGCCTGAAATACAATGCTTACATGAATTCTAATTAGTTACTTGAAAAGATTTTTTGGGTCTAAGTTTGTGGCTATATGTGCTAGAAAATATGGGCATGGCTTTGAAAACTGACCTACCCATTTCCAAGAAGACCTTAATAGTTATGTAGTCCATGAATATGCTGATATATAAGTGTCTCCCAAGTACAGGATACTGAGCATGAAATTCCCTGTTTCCATGTCTATAAAACAGGAGGGACTGGTCCAGATTTATGGCTTATTAGAAAAATAAATACTAAAAATATTTTAAAACTGTAAATCACCTGAAAAGTCAAAGCACATGCCAAAAATTTAGATTTACTAAACTGGACATTTTCACTTCAGATTCTCTGGATAAGGAAAAAGAAAAAAATCTCGACCAAGAATTTGTGGTAATGTTTTCTGTGGTGGATGAAAATCTCAGCTGGTACCTAGAAGACAATATTGAAACCTACTGCTTGGAACCAGAGAAAGTTGACAAAGACAATGAAGACTTCCAGGAGAGTAACAGAATGTATTGTAAGATTACAGAAAACACGTTAACTCTAATTTTTTTCTTAATTAATTCTGCTGCGTTTAAGCCTTTACAAACTAGGCCTTGATGACAAAGCATAGTGGACGTGTAATTGGATGTCTGTCTAAACTGGTCAAAATTAAACACTAAGCCAGGTAAAGTTACACAACAAACTTGTTCCCAATCTGATTAAAGCTAAAATATCATCACCCACAGTGTAATCCATATGTAGGTTACATTTATATATTTATCCTCCAAATTCATTTCAGCAATCATTTGAGCCAACCAATTAAGATTATTAAACTAAATGCTTAAAATTATATTGTAAAATATCTAACTATATTTAAGAAAATAGTTCTAAACCACTAGTTCTGAAAGGTATTCCTTTTAGTACTACATTGCCTTCACCAGCCCTCTCTGACTTAACATCATTCTTTTTTATATCTTACTTCACTTTATATCTCCTAGGCATGTCTTCTTTCTAGACTAGATTTTTTTTTTCTTAATTCTGAGACACAAAGTAATGAACTTAGTAAATTTACCTATCTCTCAGAATTTGCAGGAGGAGTAAAATCCTTCAAAACTAAGTAAACCAGTAAGTATAGTTTATGTTTGTGCTTAAATTCTTCAAAATAATCTTTAACGATGGGCATGATGACACACACCTGTAATCTCAGCTACTCAGGTTGAGACAGGAGGATCACAAGTTCAAGGCTAGCCTGGGCAACATAATTAGACTCTGTCTTAAAATAAAATTTTAGAAAGGGCTGGGGATGGTAGCTCAGTCATAGAGCACTTGCTTAGACTGCACAAGGTTCTGGGTGCAATCCTCAGTACTGCAAAATAAATAAATAAACCATTTTTACTCAGAAACTGAGAAAACAAGAATAACTGCATTACCAAAGTAGAAAAACTAACAAACTACGTATTTTTGCTGCCAATTATTGCTTATATCAGATGGGAGATCTGCTTTCCATCGATCCCACCTCTGTTATACACTAACAGAAATAGATGCTAGGTAAAGACTTCTAGTCTGAGTAGCCTTGTTTTGGCACAACGGTCACATCTGTGCAGTCACAGTCCTTCCCAGAAATGATTTCCACCCAGGAAATTTCTTGACCCACCTAGTTTGAACAGTGACTCAAGTTCCTTCCAAGGGTCATAGGTCATACTGCTTCTTGACTTTTAGATTTTCATGGTTCTTGTCCTTGGTCCTTGCTCCCCTTCCTCTCCATTTCTTCCTTTCTTCCTTAATATCTCTTCCAATTTTGTCTTCCAATCTTAAAGAAGTCTTTTTTATTTCACAAGAAATTCATACTAGAAAATTGGTAAAGTTCTGAGAAGCAAAAAAGAAGAAAGTTAAATTATCTGTACTATCTTACTAATGTGAATAACAATCGACTGATTACTAAATAGCCTTCAATCTTTTCTCTATATGTATGTATGTTTTGTGTCTATGTATGTATATACATACATGTCTGTATTTACAAACACATATCCATACAACTAACATGTATAATTTATAGCAAGGAGAGCAGACAGGTTTCATCTCTAGTGTTGTGCTCATCTGATAATATGGTACTGATAAGAATCCTCAGCCTTAATTCAGATCCAAAATGAAAGAGTTCTGTGACTGATATGACTGACATGGGTATGGAAGAGAGAAGAGCTGTGAGTGCTGGGTATTTTCTACCTCAAATTGATTCTATTTCTGTACAGGTAACTATCACTCTCCCAGGCACCAGTATTTATTGGTCACAAACTCTGCCTTTGGTTTACAGCTGTGAATGGATATACCTTTGGAAGTCTTCCAGGGCTCTCCATGTGTGCAGAAGACAGAGTGAAGTGGTATCTTTTTGGGATGGGTAATGAAGTTGACGTGCATGCAGTTTTCTTTCATGGACAAGCATTGACTAACAAGAACTACCATGTTGATACAATCAATCTTTTTCCCGCTACTCTTGTGGATGCTTTTATGGTGGCCCAGAACCCTGGAGTGTGGATGCTTAGCTGTCAGAATCTAAACCATCTGAAAGGTAGGACCTTTACCCAAACTTAGCTGCCAGTTGAAAAAAAGAGTTGTGTCATAGTTACTGTACTAGTGGGGTGATTATTTGGAATCAGAATCTCAAAGCACGATATCTTTGGAATGATCTGAGCTTTAAATTTGTATCTTGGTTTTATTCCCATAATGTATGTATCATAATGTAATAAAAGACTGAAAGACTGGAATGTTAATAAAGTAATGAGATCTAAAAGAGCATTCACTTCTAGAAAACAATAATTGTTCCTGCTCTGAAAGTATAGCATTATATGTAAATACTTTCTTAGCTTTGTAAAATATATAAGATTGTAAAAACCAACTATAACCAACTTTGTTCTTTGTTAATGTCTGGCTATTCCATGCTTTAACATGATAAATTCTTCCTCCATCTTTTTAACATAAGATTATAAAAAAATTTCCTTGTTCTTGAAAAATATTTGTGATATTGATCGCCTGAGGAAATTAGTTTTAACCCAGGTCTTTGGGTATGTTACTTTGCCCTGAAGATGTGATTGCATTTATCAAAAATGACCTGGGTCACAGAAACTCAGTAGAGTAGGTGCACAACTCTTTGTGAAAAAGAACAATAATCATGCTATTCCTCTTTCTCCACTCACATTGCACCTTAAAATATGTCAAAGCCCCTCTTTATTTACCTATAAATTTATCTTTTTCTCACATCAAAAGAATTCCTGAGTTAAAACCTCAGAAACTGGTACCACACTTTGAAAATACATATGCTTAAGGTCTCTTTTCTGTGCTTACATATACATAAAAAGATATATATATTTCAAAACTTGAATTGTCCATCAGTAATTTATTTTCAGCTGTTCACCCTACTTTCTAGTATTGTCCCTATCTATTTCTTCAGTTTTCATCCACCATTTCATCAGCAGTGTTGACAGGGCAATAAGAAAGAGAAACACTGATTCCATTAACAAGTGTCTCCTTCCGTGTCATTGCAGCTGGTCTGCAGGCCTTTTTCCAGGTTCAGAGCTGTAACAAGTCTTCATCAGAGAATGATATCCTGGGGGAAAATGTTAGACACTACTACATTGCTGCTGAGGAAATCATCTGGAACTATGCTCCCTCTGGTATAGACAGTTTCACCAATGAAAACTTAACAGCTCCTGAAAGGTAATTCCCCCAAAAGACTATTATTTCAAAATATATCCCCTTCAAAACAAAAACTTAAAAGTCTGATTCAGCAATTACAATTTCAATTGGCACCTGATATTGAATAACTACACTGTTGAATACTTATTAAGGTGTTTCATATAATAGTCTGAGCTTGATAACTGTAACTTTTGAGTCTATTAAAAAATATATGTTGAAATGTTATCAAGTGCTCAACAAAGTTCTAAGAAAACATGAAATAAAATTAGAAATTGATTCGTTTTCATTTCTGGAAACAGTCTTATACAGTTCAGTAGCACTGAGTACATTAACAATGTATAACCATCATCTCCATCCATATATAGAACTTTTTCATCAACCCAAATAGAAATTCTATTCATTACCCTCCATTTTATCCATTCTCTACTCCCTACTAAGCTCTATTCTATTTTCTGTCCTTATGAATTTGCCTATTTTAAACAATACAAGTGGAATAATACAGTATTTGTCCTTTTGGGAGTGGTTTATTTCACTTGGCATGTTTTTAAGGTTCACCCTGTAAGAAATGCTCTCATTTGTCCAAATCAAAAAAAAAAAAAAAGAAAAGAAAATCCAGCGGTAGTGAAAGTAAGGCTTTCAATACCAACTCTTGCAGGAGTGACACCAATACAGAGACTTGCACCCTCCAGTTGAGAAGCTGTGTTTTTATTCCTAGCACGCAGGTGTCCCTCCCCATCCCCCATGGCCTGGGATCCAAGGCTCACAGTCTATCTGGGCAATCTATTTCCCCCGACACCTGTTGTTTTCCTCCCCTACTTTTTCTTCTCATCCCTTCCTCCCTCTGTATTTCTCTGTAGTTATTTTTAGCCTGTTGGCTTCCCAGGATTTGAGAAGACTCTTATCTCTGGAGTGAGTCTTTGCTCAGGCTGCGTGCTTACTCAGGAGTCAACAGAGCTAAGTCTAAGAATAAGGGTTTATAGCACAGTTAATGAAAAATGGACCAATTGAAAATATTTTTACCTCTTTGCAACCCATTTTGTAGCACATACCAGAATTTCATGTCTCTTTAAAGCTGAACAATATTTTGTCTATGTATATACTGCATTTCATTAATTTATATGTTAATGGACGATTGGGTTGCTTCCACCTTTTGGCTCTTCTGAATAATGCTGCTATGAACACTGATGTACAAATATCTGTTCTGTTTTCTGCTTTTATGTTTAGTCTCAGGCTACAGTGACATCCAGATGTGTTACTCCTAAAGCTGTATCTCCAACCTTGAAGGGTCTTATAAATTTCAGATTCACATTTCAGAGATCTTGGGGATAACTCCATTGGATGAGGCCTGTCCAACTCATCATGTCTAAGACTGAATCCACTGCTGCAATGCAAAACTGAGTTTCTTCCTCTCTCAGTGAATCAAATCACCTATCAATTCATGTATCCATCCAAATACCCAAGTCTAAAACCTGAACACCATTCTTGACTCCCCCTCCTTCACCAACATCTCCTCAAGTACTGCCTCATTATATCTTAAGTATCTCTGAAAATGTGCACTTCTATCTTTTTCCAGTACCTCTGAAGCCATCAGTATCTTTCACAGAAATTATCAAAGCATCCTCCTAATTGGTCTTCCTCCTGCAGATTTGCATTTTCCAAAATAGTCTCCACACAGCTGTCCGAGTGATGCTCCTAAAACACTAATCCACAATGCTTAAATCTTTCATTTACTGGCCTGGAAAGGAGCACCAAAACCTTACCTAAGTCCTGCTGCCCACCCCCTTCTCTCCAAGCCTCATTCACTCCTCTGCCAGCCCTGCATGCCAAGCTTCTGCCATGTTTTCTAGAGCATGCCATGTTTGCTCTCTCCTCTGAGCCTTCTCGAAGACTGTTTCCTCTTTTTTTTTTTTTTTGGTATGGGGGATCGAACTCGGGTCCTTGCGCTTGCGCAGCAGGAGGCGCTGTTTCCTCTTTGTAATCCTCCACTGCATCCTTTCTGTCATCTTGCAAACTCTACTTTTCCCTTAGTTTTAAAAATCAATTGATCTGGAAAGCCTTTTGCAGCTCAGTCCTCTCCCATCACTTTCCCCAGGAGAAGTCTCCTCACATGTGGTGCTTATTCCATTTTTTTACATTGATTGATTCACAGTCTGTGTCCTCTGGCAGATGTAGGGTTCATGCGGATGAGGAAGAATCCAGATTGCATGTGGTTATCTCATCAACACATACCAGGGGTCCTAGATAAAAGCAAGCATCCAACACATTGTCAAATGAAAGAAGAAATGAGTGGGGTGACTCTGTGCAAGTCAAATATCTTTCTGAAATTTAATTTTTTTGTAAGATGGAGAAAATAATACCAATTTTGTTGTGTTGTCATGTGAATTTTAGTAAATAAGAAAGCTCCTGAGCCCCTGGCCAGTGCTACTACACAATGAACAGTAGCTACTGTGTTTTAAATATTCTGCAATTGGATGAAAAGGCTCTATTGTAGAAAAATTTATCAACTGTCAGGGATTGATATGGGCCTTCTTGAAAGTATTTCACTTCACTTGGAAAAGTGAAATCTCCTCTGTAATTCTCTACTCCTTCATGGAGCATCCATCTAAGTGCAGCCAGAACTGTCTGCCTCTTCTTGAGCAACTAGTATGGACATAGCTTTAAGCCACAGGTGATAACTCATCTCTAAGTGCTGGCCAGAATTTTTCTCTTCAACTGGTACCCTAGGTGAATATCTGCTTTATGTTCCACTTCAACACTTGTTTCAATCCCTTTTGCGTTTGGCAGTGACTCGGCAGTATTTTTTGAACAAGGTCCTACAAGAATTGGTGGTTCTTATAAAAAGTTGGTTTATCGTGAGTACACAGATGCCTCCTTCACAAATCGAAAGGAAAGAGGCCCTGAGCAGGAACATCTTGGCATTCTGGGTGAGTCTGTGCCACGTATACATGACTGCAATATATACTGTCCCCCCAGGAACACCCCAACCTTAGAAAGAACAGAGCTTTTCAGGACCTGTGGCATAATGTCTATGGAGAAATTAGGCATGTGGAGGATCAAACATCAATAAAAAAGTAGAAGCTAACTACTTTTCTAAATGTGAATTACCAACAGCAAATCTTCATCATTGAAAGTCAGGCTGACTTCAGATTATTATTATTTTTTACTTTAAATAGATGAGAATTGTGTGTGAGTGTGTGTGTGTCTGTGTGTCTGTGTGTGTGAGAGACTGACTTGGCTTAAATAGGTACCTAAGTTGATACAGTCCACTTTTAGCTAAAAACACATTCCCTTAGAAATAGAGTGCAATCTATGCATGAGACAGGTTGGTTGTGTCCCAAGCCTGTGCAGGCCGCCCTCAGGGGAGCCCAGAGACTGCTCTCACTGGGTACCAGGCAGAAGAGCACTGGGCAACATGCAGACTGTCCTTACGTAAGTTGTGTGGCTTTTGAAAGTTACTCAACTTTCTGTGCCTGATCTCCTCTGTAAAATAGGAATAATAGTTCTTACCTCATGAAATTGTAATGGACTAAATGAGTTACTATACATAAACACTCAGAAGTACAGATAGGAAACTCAATAAATGTAATTTTGCATATTACATAAATTATTTGTGTACTATATAATTATATTTTATTCTATAATTGGAAATAATATTAATTTTAGTGATGAAAAATCCAAAACACTGTTGTCCTTTACACCCAACACAATGTAACTTCCTTGCTTCCAGTTGTCATGGTTTATAGCACCCCCTGACTCCTGACTCTTGGGACAAATAGTGTACTTCTAGCCAACAGAAGACACAGTGAGGAGAGTGTAGACACTCCAAATAGTTTTTCTTAAGTGTATAAAGTTAATTAACTGACTTTGGCAAAAATGATAACCAATTTAATTAACCTGAAGTTGGAGCAAAAAGTCCTAACCTTTGTCTAACCTTGCCATGTCAGATTAATAATGGACTTAAGAAAAATTAAGTTTTCCAATTTGCAACCAATAACCATGTTCTTTTCAGTGATGCTTGTCAGAGAACACAGAAACTAACTGTGTGGTATGTACTAGTGAAAGAAACTACTTCTCTCCTTTTTTCTAGGTCCTGTCATATGGGCAGAGGTGGGAGACACCATCAAAGTCACCTTTCATAACAAAGGACCATATCCCCTCAGTATTGAGCCGACTGGGGTGAGATTCAGCAAGGACAATGAGGGCACATACTACGCCCCACATTACAGCCCCTCAAAAGGAAGTGAGTACGGAACTGTCTAACCAATCAACACTGTTCAGGAAGCCACCACACTGGCCACTTGCAGCATCCAGCAGGAATTCCCCAGGAAACTGCTCACACATCATTTTCATGCAGTATGCCAAAAAAGCAAATAAACCTCTTCTACCAATCCTAATTGATTAAAGGAATTTTATCCTGACTTCCTTGGATGATTATTGACATTGGTAGTAAGAACTTAATTGGATTATGTCAACTATATTTTTGGAGTACTATTTGTGTAACTTTAATTTTTAAAAAGTTCCTACAAGAAGGTTAGATGTTTATTTTAAAATATTTGAAAAATATTCTAAATAAAGAAAAGAATAACAAAAAATATCAATTATCTAAAGTTGTATAGACAGCCATTATATTTTTATATAATTCCTCCACTTTCATCTGTGCATATATAATGTATATTTTAAGTATGGTTGAGACTATAGTATATAAATTTACTTATCACTATAACTTCATAGTAGAGTTTATTCTCTTAGCATTATAAGCATTTATAATGCATTTTCAGGGGAAGTGTGAGCACAAAGAGGGACGCCAACTCCAGACAGGGTTCTAGAGGAGGCTTCCTGAGGAAATCACATCAATCTGTTAATCTGATACAGGAGCACAAGTAGGATTCCATTCATAAGTCATAACAAGAAACCCAGAAATGGTTTATCCTAGGCTAACCCAGACTACTTTGTTGTTCAAATGACTGCATTAGAAAGAACACTTAACCTCTTATGTGACCTTTCCCACAGGGGTGCCTCCTCATTCAGCCTCCTATGTGGCACCAGAGAAAACCTTTACCTATGAATGGACTGTCCCCAAAGAAGTGGGACCCACTTATGCAGATCCTGTGTGTCTATCTGGGATGTATTATTCTGCTGTGGATCCCACCAAAGATATATTCACTGGGCTTATTGGGCCAATGAAAATATGCAAGAAAGGGAGTTTACATGCAAATGGAAGACAGGTAAATCCAATCAGGGAAAGATGAAAATGATTTGTCAGTCTCTTTGAATTCATAAAGAAAATTCTAGGTTTTGAGGCAGTGAGGGTGTTACATATAATTTTTGCTTTAAATTTTTCTCAGCCTTATGAGGTCTGTATTGTGCAAAGATTTTCCTGGCTAACATGATTGTTCCTAGATGGATTGGAAATGAAAGAGTTTGTGGGACCTATGATTTTTTATAATAAAATCAGACCATGGCCTTTCGACCTAGAAATGGAAATACCATTATAACCTCATTGATTTTTTTATCTCTAAAATATTTTACTATGTGCCTTTAAAAGATAAGAACTCCTTTAAAATGCCCACATTTCAATTGTCACATCTTAATACTCACATATATAATAATAACTCCTTATTATTGTCAAGTATCCAATCAGTGTTCACATTTCCATGATTGTCTTATAATTGCTTTGTGTTATTTTAATCTGCATCCAAATAATTTCACATATTACATTTGACATGTTCCTGAAAATTGTTTTCTTGCAATTTTTCTGTTGCAAGAGTCATTTGTCCTGGTTTCCATGTCTAGATTTTACTTATTTCAACCCTGTGATATCTTTTAACCTATCTCTGTCTCTCCACTTCTGTTTTCCCATAAGTCAGTGGCTAGAATCAAAGGTTTGAGGAGATTCAGATTGGGTTCTTTTCTTACAAAACTATTTCAGTTGTGATCCTGGTTACTCCTATTACTGAATGCATAATGTATAGTTGTCTTTCAATTGGAGATGTTATCAGTCACTGATGATCTCCTAGATTCATTAAACTAATTAAAGTTATATAATGTAATATTCTGATTGCATCATTCTTTGTTTGCTAGCCAAAATTCTTCTACAAACAGAAACTTCCTATAGTGAGTTTGTGGTTACCCTGTATAATGAGTTATGTGGTTACCCTGAAGTATATACAGGAAGGAAATGACAAATACTTGATCTTTTCCCTATTTTTTCAAGTTTCAAACTAATAGGTCTCCTCTAGAATACTTCAGAGCTCCTTAATAATTTCTTTTCTTTTTTATGTCACATTTTGTATTGTCAGATTTGAGGATATTCACCATTCTGATAGAAGACAAATAGTTGTTTGTTTCTAGCTTACTATGAATGTTTATTTAAGAAACATTGCATTTGTACTATTCAAAAAACATCCTGTACTAGGCACAGAATTCATCAGTAAATAAGTCAAGCCAGTTTCCTGTTCTAGTAGGATTTATATCCTAGTATATGTGCAGGAGATGTAGGGGAAAATGAGGGTGGGGGGATAAGCATACATACAAAATGAAGATAACTTCAGAAAGTAACAAGTGCTTTAAACACAGAATAATGGACGACAGTGGAAATAATATCTGAGGCAAGATCTAAATTTCAAGAAGGCAGCTTTGTAGACATCTCAGGGAAAACTAGGGGAACAGCCAGTGTCAGAATGTCACATTTTATAAAAGCCACTTTTAGGTAATATTTTTAATACAGACTCTTGAAGAATTTCTGCTTCTGAAATTCAAAAATTTTACCAGGACATTTTGAGTTAGAAGTCTGTATTATTAATTTTGTCTTGTTCTTAGTGAAGCTTTGGAATCTAAAGACTGGTTTTTTCTTTATGATGGTGAACATTTTGACTATTGTTTCTTATGATTGTGTCTTCCCTTTTATAACTTCTCTTTCTAAAGTTATACATATACACTTTCCATCTTTAAATCTTTCCATCTGATTTGTGGGAGCTTTCTTTAGATCTCCTTCATCATTGATTCAGTTCTCTGTAGGATCTATCTTTCAGGTCTCTGCTTTAGTTGGATTTTTTCACTTGGATAATCATGTTTTTCCTGTGAAAGAATGATCTTAATGGAAAGACATATAATACTGTCTAATGATTTCTCTATTCCTTAGACTAACTGCCTTTTTCTGAATGACTGAACTATCTCATAGGCCAGACAGCATTTTCCTGGCCCCCTCCCCCTCCCCTCCCCCTCCTCTTCCTCATTATTATTTTAACCAGGGGGCAGGGGGAGAGAGTAATAATTTTGCTCAGCTGACTGGAGAGTGTGTGAATCTGTCTAGTTTATTGGCAGGTTATTTCTCCACTTAAGACAATTGGGCCCTCAGACTGCTGCTTCCACCTTGCTCTGCCTTACAAGAATTTTTAAGAGTTTTCTGAATGTGGATGGCATCTTCCCTGATTTCCAGCACATACACAAATTTCCCCCTATTTTAATAATTTTTAGTGGTTTCACTTAGTATGGCAGTGGGACAGGAAGAAAGAAGATACAGAACTTTCAGAGCAGAGAAAGGCTCAGATTACCACGCTGAACTAAAATCCACTCAACAGATAGCAGTGTGAGCTTGGGTGGTCAACTGGAATGTTTCATAAGCCTAATTTACAAAGATGAGCAGAAACTTCTGTTCTCATTCCTCCTTCAGCTTGTATGTGCATAGATAGCATTGAGTACATGTAAGCCTTCTGCTGTACTCATCCTGTCTTCACCTCATTGTTCTGTCTTGATTTGCAGAAAGATGTAGACAAGGAGTTCTATTTGTTTCCTACAGTATTTGATGAGAATGAGAGCTTACTCCTGGATGATAATATTAGAATATTTACAACTGCACCTGATCAAGTGAATAAGGAGGATGCAGACTTTCAAGAATCTAATAAAATGCATTGTAAGTATTATACCTTTCACTAAAAGTACAGCAAGCTAATCTGTCAAGTTATTTCAGTACTGCATATTTAATACTTTTAATTAAACCAAAATGCAAATAGCTTTGCTTACTGATTTTCAATATATGATTAAATACAATAATGCCAAGGGTGATGTCATTGATTATTTAATGTGTCAGCCAATTACCCATCATTTCATTTAACTCAAAGTAATAAGACATACAAGACACACCAATTAGATGAGTGATCCTTAAAGTGGGGCCCCTGCAGAGCAGCCTCAGCATTATGTAGGGACTTGTTAGAAAGGCAGATTCTTGGGCCCAACCCTGAGCTACTAAATCACAAACTTGGATAATAGGTCCCAGAAATCTATGTTTAACAAAACCTCTAGGTGAATCTGATGTTTGTTCCAGTTTGAGAACTACTGAGTTAGACATTTTCCTCATTTATGGCTGAATAATGACAAGTGTATTTTATTATTCAATGTATGAAAAGATACAATCTTTGCTCTCATGATTCTCACCCATGACTGCATATCAAAAACACTTGGGAGGGGCTGGGGATTTAGCTCAGTGGTTTCACTGCCTGCTGCACAAGCGCAAGGACCCGAGTTCAATCCCTGGTACCAAAAAAACCACAAAAAACAGAAAACACTTGGGAGCATTTAATAACCACCAGTGCCCAAGACAAGCCCAGAGACTTTTATTTAATTGAAGTCTAGAGTCAGATTTATTTTTTTCTTCCTCAGTGTAATTCTAAAATGTGGTTACATTCTGGAGACAGTGGGCTAATTGTTCAAAAGGCCCATACCACTAATGGACAATGGTAAAAATTACTCCAGTTAATAGACAAAAAATACAAACGAGCTACAAACAGATGCTGTTCTGTGTGAGAGTTCTTCAGCTTGTTTATTTTAAAAGCTGGCCTGATTCTAGACATACTACCCACAATCTTTAAAATACTTTTAGTCCTACACTTTTGCATTTTGGAGGTATCAAGGATATTATCTGTTGGAAAGAACAGTGAGAGAAAATTTCCTGTGTATACACTTCCCTATTATTCAAGATGAGTCAGAATTTTTCATCTAAAATAATAAACACATTTCCAGCCTATGAGGTCCAGGAAAAGCTGTTAGTATTTATAGATTTAGGTGTTCACAAATAACGACCATTGAAAGTACTGAGAACAACAGGTAGAATGTCTCATTCTAGCTGGCAGAACAGTGAAGTCCCCAGGACACTAGGGACACTGGCACAGAACTTCAGGAACCACACTGTTATCTCTGCTTCCTGGAGCCAGGCAGGGGGTGCTCTGGGAGTACTGGGGACAGTAGAAACATGAAAGTTGGGCAGGCTTGGATTAGTCTTTTAAAACTTAAAATTGGCTTGGAGAGTCAAGGAGGTTGTCATGCACCAGGACATTACATAAATCACTTTAAAAATGTTATTTCCCAATTTTAACAGCCATGAATGGATTCATGAATGGGAACCAGCCTGGTCTCACCATGTGCCAGGGAGATTCAGTTGTGTGGTACTTGTTCAGTGCTGGAAACGAGGCTGATTTACACGGGATATACTTTTCAGGAAACACGTATCTGTCAAGAGGAGAAAGAAGAGACACAGCAAACCTCTTCCCTCAAACAAGTCTGACACTCCTCATGCACCCTGACACAGAAGGTATATTTCTTTAAAGCGAAGACAAGTCTCTGTTGGGTCTATTTGTGGATTTTCATTGAACTGGAACATGTTGGGTGATAAACTCAACCCTTTCCAAGCTTTCTAAGTGCCCCACCTCCCTTTGAAAGGCTAAGCTGGGGCCACCATCGGCAGAAGTATGTACCAAATAGGCCCATCTTCTATTTATTAGAGGGTGAGGGAGGGACAGGAGTGAGAATAGCGGGATGTAGTTTCCTCTATTTCCACAGTTGAACCCTCAAGGAGGTCCCCCTTTTCAACTGTGATTCTTTTAAAGACAGATGGGAAAGCAGACTAGAAAGGGAATGACTCCCGAAGAGGCTCTGTGTCTAAGTCTGTCATACTCTGTAGCCTAGATGTAGTGTTGGCTTGTGGGCTGCTTGCCAATGAGTATTTTATTCTAGAACTGTAGTCATGCCAATTCAGATTCACCGAAAGGCCTGACTCTGAACAAATAAACTAAGCAAAGAAGAAAGCATTTCAATCAGAATCTGAGAACATGCTAATGTGTCTCAGGTTTTATTTGTTCATTATGTGTCACTAAAACTTAAGATTGACCAAGTGTTGCCTTTTCATTGGACAAATGTAAATACAAAAAAATGAACAAAAGAGATAAAATGTCCCATGGAGCTGAAATTCCAAAACAAGACAGACAATAAGCAAGTATATTTAAACATGTACCAGTATGTTAAGTGATTATAAATACATAAAGAAAAAGAGAGCAGAGGAAGGGGTCAAGATTCTCTCAGGAGGTGATAATTAAAAGACCTGAATAAAGCAAGAGCATGAAGCATGTGAACATTTGAGAAGTATTCCAGGTAGAGAAAACAGCAAGGGCAAAGTCCTGAGAGAGGCACACACACAGGCCTGATCTAAGAACAGTGAAGAGGCCTATGTGGCTGGAGCGAGGTGAGCAATGGGTGATGTGATCAGAGGTTCAAGTAGCCAGGTCATCCGCCATCACGATGAGGACTTTGCTATTGATTCTGGGTAAGGCGGGGAGCCACAGAGAGTACTGAGCACAAGAATGGCATGTTTTCTTATTTACCACTCCAGGGACTTTTGATGTTGAGTGCCTTACAACGGATCACTACACAGGTGGCATGAAACAAAAATATACTGTGAACCCATGCAAGCAACTGTCCGAGGAGGATTCCACTCTCTTCCTGGGAGAAAGGACCTACTATATTGCAGCAGTCGAGGTGGAATGGGATTATTCACCACACAGGGAATGGGAAAAGGAGTTGCATCATTTACAGGATCAAAAGTAATTCTCCAGACTCTGATTTCCAGTTTGTTCACTGAAATTTTAGGTTTCCCATTTTTTTTTTTTTTCTTTAGTACTGGGGATCGAATTCAGGTCCTTGCACTTGTGAGGCAGATGGCGGAACCACAGGTTTCCCTTTTAAAGAAGAATTATGCTGACTTTTAGAAAATGAAACACTTGTGTCTTAAGCAACAACAAAACACTTTGAAGGAGCCTGTCCTCATTTATTTCTGCTTTTCTCAATTGTCTCATGGGAACTTTCATTTCTGTCTTTTGATTCTTTGGAGTCATTCAGTTTGCTTTCTTTTCCATTGGATTGTCGTCCCACATTCCCATGCCCTTCTCTTGTCATTGATTTTCAAACTTAACCAAAATTAAGGCCCAAATTCAGAGCTGACATATTTATTTTTTTTTTTTTACCAACTATTATTGGTGTATTTTTTTCTCTGAAATTTTATTTTTAACCAATTAATAATTTCACAACCCTAAAACTTTCATATATAGAACTTTTAAAATATGTGACAGCAGAACAGCAGCTCTTTTCTTCAAGTACTTATAGGCAAATATGGTTGAAAACCATTAATAACATGTGCATTGTGGAAAAGTGAAAAATAAATTTGGCATGAATAAACGTAAGTAGAAGATGGTCAGTGGAGATTGAAAAGCATCCACTTAGAGGAGAATCGCCCTGCACTTCCAGTAGCGCTTTTGTACTTTCCCAAGCACTGTGCCTTCTATCCTCTCACTCACATCATGCAGGACCTCACGGGTGTGACCCGGGCCCTCGGTCACACAGTGGGATGGGCAGATGGGGAAGCACGTGACTGGAGACCTTCCTAGTTAGGCCCTGTGGCAGGTCAGTTTGACGGTGGCAGTTGAGTGCAGTTTACAGGGTAAAGGGGTAAAAGTTTACGTCAGTGATTGGGACATAATTGTTAAAAGGCTACAGGAGCCATTAGGAGTCAAGGAAAACTTCAGGGAAGGTGAATGGATGGAAAAACATACCATTTCAGTTCCTGTACTGAATACTGCAGTAACCAGAGAACATACCATTGATTGACTCTGAACTCATACAATTTTAGAGCTATAAGGAAACCTTAGAGATGATCCAGTCGACTACCTCATCTTAGAGACAAGGAAAATGAAGCTCCAACAGGTGATGACAAGCTAGGTTATTCTAAGAGTAGCAGTCAGGGCCAAGATTCAAGTGGCTTCACTCAGATACTAGGTGCATTTTCAACTGCACCTGTTTTTAAAGTCTTTATTTCTTACTGGAGTGGAAAGTGATTAAAAAGTACCACAATTACTCTAAAAAAATTATATTTTATTGAAAATTTAAAACTTGAAATTTAGTTTTCATCTTCATTAAAATAAATACTAACTGAGGTTTTTTTTTTAAGTGCTTCAAATGCATTTTTGGATAAGGGAGAGTTTTACATAGGCTCAAAGTACAAGAAAGCTATATATCGGCAATACACTGACAGCACGTTCACAGTTCCGGTGGAGAGAAAAGCTGAAGAAGAACACCTGGGAATTCTAGGTAGGTTAACAACTCCTCTTTATCAAGTGTGGGCTGGTGATATGCTGCTTTGTGTAGCAACAGTCAGTACCTCTCTGTGGGCTTTTAAAAAATTCAAATCAAAATTTTTAAAAAGCAGTTATTCAATAAATATTAGCTTAAACCAGGCAAGGTGGTGCTCATCTGTAACTCCAGCACTCTGGAGGCTGAGGCAAGAAGATTACAGATTCAAGCCCAGTTTGGGCAGCTTAGTGACTTACCAAGACCATCTCAAAATTTTAAAAAATAGAAATAAAAAGGGCTTGAGATGTAGCTCAGAGCAGAGGCCCCAAGTTGAATCTCAAGTACCACAAAAACAAACAAAAAATATGTTTATTAAAGAATATGGTTAATAAAATATTACTTATCTCTGTCCGTTATGAAACTGTATGTTTGGTGTTTATCAAATTGATTCTTTTAGATTTTTTTTTTTTTAAGTTCCAGGAAACTACTTCCAGGTGAATTTCTTGATCAAATTCTCCAATATCTCACACCACCAAAATAACAACAAAATTCACAGCCACTTATTTTAAAAATTAGACATAAATTATTAATGACTATATATATATATATACACACATATACATATATAAAATAAGGAAAAAGTGTTACTTCACACAAGGCAAAGGGAAAGCAGCCTTCAGTTTTTCAAGAGCCACTTTAAGAATATCTAACTTGTCTTGGATCTTCTTGAAAATCCTCAAGTGCAGGAGACAAACCCCCAACCCCTTGTTTCTACACTATCACATTCCCCAGGGGCTTGGTTATCCTCAGCCCCTAGAGTAAGACACCTAAGGGAAAGGAGCACTGTTACAGGGTAACAGAAGCTAAGACTTGCTAGAGGGCAGAACTGGGAGAGGTAGCCCTGTCCTTTCAAATCTGGTATTCAGGAAGGTCTGGAGTTCAGAATGCTGAGAAATATGAGTGCTACAAAATGACTCCTGTTCAGAGACCAGCTCACCCTGGCTAGATATTACCCTGCAGGAGACTTGCAGGCCAAATTCTCCCCTGGAACCCTGGATGTGGATACATACAGTCTCATACTTACAGGGAGGTGTCTCCTGTGTTTTTATCCCATATTCTCTGGGACCATCAATCCAACACTACAACAGCACAAAGCCACAGGGAAGAAAACACTCCAGCCTTCGTGCTGAGAAAGTTACCTGATCTTTGCCTTTATTACTAAGAAGTTTCAATCTGACAGGTAAATAAACCGCTCTTTCTTTTCACTGTTCTCAGGTCCACAACTTCATGCAGATGTTAGAGACAAAATTAAAATTGTCTTTAAAAACATGGCAACAAGGCCCTACTCAATACATGCCCATGGGGTGAAAACAGAGGATTCTACAGTTACTCCAACATTACCAGGTACTCATGGTTGGGAAAGTGTCTTTCACTTTGTAGCCATTCCACAAATGACTAGTCTCACAGAAGTATTCCTTCCAAACAAGTGTAGCTTGAGGAAGTGAAGTGAGAGGTGGTAGGTGAGGGAATACAGGGACTAGTCTGTGTATATGCCTGTGTATAGCACATCCTTATTCCATACAATCAGTCGGTGCTATGGTGCTTACCTGGAATCCTGGAACTCTAGGAGCCTGGAGCAAGCTCGAGCCCAGCCTGGGCAACATAGTGAATTAATAAAATCCTGTTTCAAATTTTTAAAAAAGAAAAGGACTGAGAGTGTAGCTCGATGCAAAGGCCCTGGGTTCAAAAATGAGAACGAGAAAGGGAGAGAAGGAAGGAAGAAAGGGATGGGAAGGAGGGAGGAAGGGAGGGAGAGACCGAGACCAAGACAGACAGTCTATAGGAGAGCTCTAAGGGGGAAAAAAATGGAAGGTACTGGACATCCACAAATACCTAAGGGGTGAATCAGGGAGAGGCTCCTCCATGCTCAACTAGAACACCTCTCAGAAAGCATCTACTGCACTGCACAGGACTGCTTTGCCGGTGTCCCAGACAGTGTCCAGAGAGCTCGGCTGTCACTTAATCGTTTAAAATTCCTATATCTTGTCCAGTGTCTGGCATGTCCTAGGTGCTCAGCAAGTTTTTATTTAACATAGAATGGAAACAGTGTGGACTGTGTGTGTGTGTGTGTGTGCTTCTTTAATCAGAACTGTATTCTTCTATTAGCTGTAAAGTTGGCTTCTAGAAAAAGACCATTTTTCAATAACTTAGCAGTTCTCAAATATGTCAATTGAGAAAAAATAACTTTATTGTAAATTTAGGGGAATAGAAATAGAATTCCCTGCCCTTATGGCCCCCATGCTCTTCTAAGGGAGGTAATTTAATCTCCTAAGGAAAATACATTCATGATGCTGAGCAGTAAACAATGCTATGAAGAAGATTCACACAAGCCCGTGATTTAGCTCAGTGCCTGCCTGGAAAGCACAAGGTCCTGAGTTCAATTTCTGGAAACCCCCCAAAAAGATTCACAAGGTGGGAGGGAGAGGGAGAGAAGCAAGGGTGGTCTTAGGTAGGGCAGTCAGGGGGGCTTCTTTGAGGAAGGTGAGGACACTGGTGCAGACACCTACCTAACTGATGAGAGGTAATGCAGCTCTGCTTTCTGTGGGAGGAAATTCTAAGCCCTCAAGATAAGAGAACCTTGATGTGTCTAAGAAACAGCAAGGAGGCCAGAGGGAAGCATAGAGCAAACAAGGAACAGTGTTTTAGTAGATGGGAAGCAAGGAAAGCAGGAGCAGCAAGGACCAGGTACTTGAGATTTTATTCTAATCACCTATGTGAGGATTTGAGTTGAAAGGTGATGATCTGATGAACACTTTATAAGAGACTGTTCTGGATAATGTGTGGATAAGGGACTGTTGGGGGCAAGTGTAGTGTCAGTGAGCTACTGCAATAATCTGAGAAAAAAAATTACCCAAACTATCAAGATTTGGAACAGAACAAAAGCAGCTCAAGTGGCAAGAAGTCATATTTCAGTTCTGTTTTAAAGGTGGTGATAAAAGGACCTGCTGACAAACTGGCCAGTAGGGAGTGTTAGGGAACAGAGAAGCCAAGGACGAGTCCAAGGTTCAGGGCACTGACCACTGGCAGAAGAGCAGGGTAGGAAGGACAGCAGAGAAGGAAATGTAGGTTCACAGCTTACGGTAATAAGTAAAAGCAGAGATGGATAGATAACATGTTCAGGTAGTAAATCAACCCAAATGCCAAATATTTTGTTTAAAGAGTAAAGACATGGGAACAGCTAAGAATGAGGGCTTGAGGAAAAATAAGTCTATTACACCCCTTGAGAATATCCTTCATGTTTTGCTTGATTCCCTAGTCAAGATTTGTCAGACTCTGTTTAAAGTCTGACAGTATTATTTACATATGTAATATGAGGAGGCCTACATAAAGGAGTGTACAGTGAGTGTAGTAAGGATTGGTGACATGGCAGAAAGTCAAGGCTGCACAAGATGCTCTGAGGTGACTGGAATGGAGATGAGACTGTAGCAGAGCCAGGAGCACATGGGAAGAAGGTGGAGGTCTTGGCAAGGTAAGAGGTTGGAGCAACTGGCCATTTTCAAAGTGTCAAGGGCCAGGATGAAATTATGTGCTGCATGTCACAGAGCAGTGACAGAGCAGTGTATGGTGTGACAGATTGGAATAGAGAGCAGGTAAACAAAATTGTGATCAGTGAGTGACCCAGAAGATCAAGAGGTTCATGGCTGAGGATGATGGTGAGTGAGAAGGAGGAGGAAAGGAAATCATGGTGAAGCTAAGGGAATTCCACAAGCTGGTTCCTACACAGACACAGAGATGACTATAAAGAAGATGCTAGTCACTGGAGGACACATTGGTAGGTGAAAAAGAAAGTATATTATGAAAACATACTTCAAGCTTAGAAAAGACTGGTTTGGAAAGTTTCTTCAAATTATATTGGAATGGCCACCTCTTGGCTTTGTGACATGGCAGGTACAGCATAACCAGTTAATTCATATTTGACACACACCAAAAAAAAAGACATAAAAATGTCCTAGAGTTTATTTTAAAACTAAATTCCTGAAAAGAAGTTTGAATATTATTTTTTTTAAAAAACTACTCTGACATTTCCAGTTCCTGGGTCACTAGTTATCAAGGTCAAATATAAACAAAATATAACCAGATATATTAACATTTAATTTAGGTGAAACTCGAACTTACATATGGCAAATCCCAGAAAGATCTGGCGCTGGACCAGAGGACATGGCTTGTATCCCATGGGCTTACTATTCAACTGTAGATCAAGTTAAGGTAAACTTTAAATCATTTATATTTTGTGACAATTACCAAAATAGACACACAATTGAAGGAAGACGAGGTTAGAGTTTTCCTGTGCTCCAACTCTATGTTAAAAATGCCAGGAAAGTAAGCTAATCTGCAATTTCTTCCATTTTTTCAGCTTGCTTATTTTTGAAGAAAGTTATAACTAACTTATGGGTACTGATTATAGATGACACAGCAATTATGTATCAATGAAATATTTTATTTCCCTTTTGATATGAAAATATGTTGAACTCAAACAACTGAGGCATGTAGTTTTAGAGTTCATTACGTAACAAGAAAGCTGAGGCCAGCAGTCAATCACAGAACTGAAGGTAGTTTGATGAAACAGTTCAAAGCCAAAAATAACACTCAATAACCACAAATCAGAAGTTATACTCAGTCTGTTCTGTAAAATTAGACCTCTGGCCTCAATCTCCCTTCTGAGTTCTCATCCTGTTCATACACATACTGGGCATCTCCATCAGTAGTGGCTACAGAGACTTAGCAACTCTAAAATAGATATTGGGATCTTCTTCCACCTCCTTCTGTGCTTCCTGTTGTAATAAACAACACCACAAGAAACAAAACTCATTTGTTCAAGCAGGAACACGGAATTACCAAGAACCTACTTCCCCTTGACTTTCTCAAGCAATTACCTTATCTATAGCTCAGTCTATTCCTTCTCGCCACCTACACAGTTCAGGTTCTTGAAATTTGCCTTGACTACTGCCATGGCCCTTCCCACAAGTCTCTTCCCTCTCCAAGTCTTTACTTCACCAGAATGACTGTACTAAAATGCAAATTTTCTGCTATTTTCTGTTCAATTTTTCAATGAGTATATATGACATATAAGATGAATTCTCAAATTTCTGATATATCTCAAAAGCACTTCAAAGACCTAACCCATCATCAATGACATGCATCCAAACCAAACTACTCACAGATTTGAGTCAGTTGTGGTCTTCCTCCTCTGTGACCATCAGCATTCTCTGTAACTCCACTGTGGTAACACTTTCCTGTTTTGTTTCCTTTTTGAAACAGGGTCTTACCATGTAATTCAGGCTGGCCTTGAACTCAGTTTCTCTGCTTCTATGTCTTCTGTTCCTCTAGTCCCTCTATAAAACTGAGCTCCTAGAGGACAGCAGGCTTGTTTCATTCTTGATGGAGTTATCACGACTAGCACAATGCTCAGCACAGCTTCATGAGCTCATGAGCTTATGGGATAAACAAAGCAATGCTCTTTATCTGGGGTTCTTTTAAATTGCTGCTCATTAGCTAAGCCGATTTTTGGCCTCTGCATGTATTTTCACTTATACATCACACACCTGCCCTGTTCACCACTGGTTCCAACTTAACTACTTCAAGTGAGAAGTTACTAAATTGGAAGTTGGCAGCACCTGCCAAGTCTACTACTTAAATCAGCCCTTCCAAAATCCCTGAGATCATGGGTGACATGGTCCCAGTTTTCTGAAATCTAGACTTACATTGCAAGGATGACTGAAGTTTTCACTTGTTTATAGGACCTTTACAGTGGATTGATTGGCTCACTGATTGTCTGTCGAAAATCTTACATCAAGGTATTCAATCCCAAAAAGAAACTGGAACTTTCCCTCCTGTTTCTAGTATTCGATGAGAATGAATCTTGGTACTTAGATGACAACATTGAAACATACTCTGAGCATCCCAAGAGAGTAAACAAAGAAAATGAAGAATTCATAGAAAGCAATAAAATGCATGGTATGACAAATGATTCTAAAACCATTTTCCACCTGGGATTTAGCTTAGTGGTTCTGCCACCTGCCTAGCAAGAGCAAGGTCCCGAGTTCGATCCCCAGTACCAAAAAAATAAATAAATAAAACCATTTTCCTTCTTTCAAGTAAAATTTTATTGAGGACTATTTATAAACTAGTTTCTCCTCACTTTGTGAGGTAGAATCCTGTTCAAAAAACGAACTATGCTAAAATCACTTACCAATTTCTCTCCCAATTCCAAATCTCATTCCTTTTTAAGATTCAAGGCTTCTGATGCAAAATGACTAGAAAGCAGGGTCTGGCATTAGTGACCTTCAAATATTCATTTCCTCCGTTTGTAGTGAAACAAGTTGTGTTATATCAAAAAGACTCCTTTTAATTATATTTCTGTGAAAGTTACTGGTTTAAGGTATCCTGAAAGGTGATATGAGATTGTGTTGTTTTCCCCAGCTATCAATGGAAGAATGTTTGGAAACTTACAAGGCCTCACGATGCATGTGGGGGATGAGGTCACCTGGTATCTGTTAGGCATGGGCAATGAAGTGGACTTGCATTCTGTGCATTTTCATGGCCACAGCTTCCAATATAAGGTAAGAGCTATCCGTGGCAGTCATTCTTGCTATATTTAGATGTGTTTTAATACAAAGAAAATATTTCCTCAGATATATTTATGAAAAATTGAAAGTTTCAAAGATTAGAGCAATTTCAACTGACATTCCAGCCTTGTTATACCTTGGGTTCTTCGGATTTATAGTCTTTACTAGATTTTCATGGAGTTCTATTCACACGTTCTGAGTAAGACATTTGAGTGGAATTGCTAATGGGGAGGAGCAGGAGTGTCCATGTAATGATGAATCAGATAGCAGAGATCAGACAAGACTTTAGCGTACCCCTCCCTGTTCTGGGTTGAGTGTTTTAAGCGGCCTGAGGAAAGTAAGATCATCAGTTAGGTGATAAGCAACTGAATTCCCTAGATCTCAATCCTACTTCTATTTCTGACCCTATGGTGATTTCAACAGGAACCAATGGCTCTTTTGGAAATGTTTTTTTCTTACTGTTAATGTAGAAAATGAAGAAGCTACCAAATAAGCAAACTGCAGAAAGTTCATTTTATAATGTGAATTTTGTTTTATATAGGTATATTATGTTCTCAGTGGACTTTCAATTCCATCCCTGGAAATACATCCTACTCCTGTTTCTACATGAGACTGCCTAAACTGCCTGTTGGTTTCTCTCTACGGGCCTCTTTTGCTGCTGCTCCCTTTATTATTCTCTCTGCCCAACAGCTTAGTTCCTCCATGAAGCTCAAGTGCTCTGACAAAGAGGCAAACCAGAGGCACAAGTAGTCCAGGCTACTGAACTCACTCTCATTACATCTTCTATCCTTTATACCCACTAGACGATGGTCCATAGTACTGGGACCTTAGAGGAGATATACAGACCACGACCACATATCTCACTGTTTGTATTAAACAGAAATGTGCAGAGACTCACTTAAAAAAAAAAAATTTATCAATTTTTCTAATATCCCTTAGCTAGTCAAAGAAAGATTTGGATGAACTTTTATAAATATTATATAATATTTGTCATTTTTCTAATTAAGCACAGGGGCATTTATAGTTCTGATGTCTTTGACGTTTTTCCTGGAACATACCAAACCCTTGAAATGTTTCCCAAAACACCTGGAATCTGGTTACTCCACTGCCATGTGACTGACCACATTCATGCTGGGATGGAAACCACCTACACTGTTCTGCCAAATGAAGGTGAATATACAGTTAGTAATTCTAGGAGTCATATATTATGAATATAATTCAGATGCTATTTCGCCTAAGTACTTCCCCCAGTACGAAGCATCTGAGAATCTGCTGTCATGCTTTCTTTCCTCTACCTCCATTAGGGATTTTTACTGCTAAATAGGGAGGGATACTGCTCACTTCCTGAGAGCTGGTACTTAGAAAAGAACCAGCACTCTTTAAACTAATACAAACAGACACCACTTGATGTAGAGTAATTATAACTAAAGTTGATATAAAAGAGTAGTCACATTAGTTATTTACCAAGAAGAAAACCTCAACTTTCAAGGTACATTTAGAATTTAATTTCTTTAACAGAAAACATCAATTTCTTTCTAGGTAGCAGCTCATCTGTAAGAGAAGCCCAGGTTAATTCCAAGTAACTGTACAATCTCTAACAAACCAACATAATTTTTAACAGTCAATCAGGCAGAGCTGCATCTTTCTATGGTTTCAGAGAGAAGGGAAGACATTATTATTGTTTGTGAGAGATACAGGAAAATATATATTTAAATTCCCTGGTCCCCAACTCCTGCAACAACCCTCCATGTGAGTGTGCATGCACACACACTCACATGCACTAAAAATACCAGAAAATGAAAAGCCTTTTTGTGGATCATGTATAAAGAATGAAATTCTTGCCTTGTAAATGTAGATTTTGGTTTTTCTGAGTTTCTAAGATCAGAAAATGGTGGAACTAGAAATGGCTGATCCAATAGAAAAGTTATGTAAAGAGAACAAGTCTGTTTCCTTATCAAAATGAGGATAAAAGAAAATATATAAATGGAAGAAAATATAGAAATGAATATATTTCAAGATTTAAAAATCACTGAAAGATTAATTCTTAGTGCAAATGAAGTTTAATTTCTGCTCCTGGACCTTACAACAAATCTTCTATCATGAAAACTATTTGCATTAAAGCCCTTTGTATTACAAAAAGCAGTTACTAATAATCAAAGACTTGAAAAGGCAAATAAGCCACTGTTTAACATGTTCCCACCAGCTTGAACCACTAGTGGTACATGCATCACTGTCTCACTGGGTGGCTCGTACCACCTGATCCAACAGTCCCATGCCATCTGATGGGAGAGTCACATGTACCTCCGGTGCTGCCAAGTTGCCTGTCAGCAGTAAGACATATGAGTTATGGCCCCATTGTGAATGTGTTAATGCCAAGAACTTGACTAATGTGAAGAGTCAAAGGGCTGAGAATGAAAACTATAAATAGTCTTTAATGGACACTAGCTTGCAGGTAAATCACACAAAAGGATGATCCTTCTCAGAGAGAACACAGAGGCATTTGGGGAATTCACATGTGCAAATGCCTGGCATACAGAGGATGATGCCACAGGTGAATCCTACACACAAGGTCACTGAAGAGACTCATACTGTGTACATGCCTGGAGGAGGAGATGACTGGTTAAGAAAGGAGAGATTGTTTTAAAGCTGTACAAAAAAACCTGTAGCACAAATAGCAAATGTGAAGGAAAACACACATTTGAAAAAATTACCTATAATCCTAGCACTCTGGGAAACTGAGGCAGAAGGACTGTAAATGCAAGCCCAGCCAGGGCAGCTTAACAAGACCCTGCCTCAAAAATTTAAAATAGAGTGGAGGATGTAGTTAAATGAAGTTAAATTCAATGAAGTTAAATTTTTAAAACTTTCTTTGCACCTAATTTCATGCTTACAGAAAAGTTGCAGGAGTAAAACAAAGATTTCCGAAATGCCCCTCATTCAGATTGTCCAAACATTAACTTTCACACAGCCACAGCTGCTTTCTCCTTCTCTCCCCTACCTCCCTTTCCTGCTCTCCCTGATATATACACAATTGTGTCTGTGTGTGCAAGTATATATACCCAGGTTTCCTAAAAACAAGAATATTCTAGTACATAACCATAATATAGCTATCAAAATCAAGAAATTAAAAATGATTAAAAACTACAGATTTTTTTCAGATTTCACTCATCATCCTAAAAAAAAAAAAAGTACTACAGAAAAAAATGAAATTCTAGATTGTGCCCTTATTGTTGGCATATCTCTCAATCTCCCTTGCTCTGGAACAGTTCCTTCAGTCTGTGTGGGTTTGTTTTGCTGTACTGGGGACTGAACCCAGGACCTTCTCACTGAGCTTTATCTCCAGCTCTTTTATTTTGTGACAGGGTCTTGCTAAGTTGCCCAGGCAGGGATTGAACTTGACATCCTCCTGCCTCAGAGTCCCACAGTGTTGGGATGACAGGGGTGCACCACAGTGCCTGGCAGTTCCTCAGTCTTTTGTCTTTCACAGACATGAAGAGTGCAGGGCAGTCACTTTACGGAATGTCTTTCAATTTGAGTTCTTCTAAAGTTTCCTCAGATTATGCTTAGGGTACATATTTTTGGCAAGACTATCACAGAAGTGATGCATTTTTCTCATTACTCCATGTCAGACGGCACAAGACAGTAATTTTTTCCCATACTGGTTAAGTTTGAGCTTTTGTGACAGTGATATATAACAGGTTCATCCACTGTAAATTTACTATTTTCCCCTTTATAATTAATAAGAATCTTGTGGGAGGGAAATAATTAAATAATTAATAAATAAATAATAATTAAAGCACTACTAGAGTGAGATTTTTAAACATATGAAAAGTAGAAAAATATAAATGAATTAAGAATGATTAAACAAGATAACACATAAGAAATTAGAATACATTTAATGCACAATTTACTAATTTACTAATCTTTTAAACCATATAAAATATACTACTTTAAATAATGATCTTAAAATTTCTTTTTCTATAGAAACCAAGTCTGGATGAAAGAAAGAAATTGGTGATAAGTGGGAAAAAAGATAAAACAATGGTTCATGGTAACGTGTGTGACAATTTTGAATGGAACACTTACGATGGAATGGCTATAAACATTAAAAACAAAAGACTTGAACAGCTCTGTGCATTTGTGGAAGTATGCTGTTACTATTTTGCAGATAGATATAGACTATATATGAAAGATAACTATATAATAGGTAACAAAATTGATTAATATAGGCCACTCACGCTACCACTATTAGGACACTAAAAAACTGCATTAAAAAAAAAATCTATGATCAGATATTGTCCTGATGGTCTTCGAAGGGTCACTATTAAGGGTCATTAAAATGTCTCCAACCATCACCTTCTCATCAATCCCTCTAACATACTACTGACATACCTAATGAACCAGTGGGCAGGAGGGGTGAAATAAAACAAAAATAGGCCGATCTGAGTTTTTGTGAACCCTTGAAACCATGGTCAAAAGAACCTCATCTGGAACTAGAGAAAGATAGAGATGAGAAACAATGCTTTTATATTACATTTTGGTAAAAAATAAAATTAAGATAATAAATTAAGAAATTGCCATCAGAAGAAAGACTTTAAAATACTGTTGGGTCAGACACCAAGCAATTAGAAATTTTGGCCAGCCTTAACTGGATTCAACAGACATATCGCTGAGCTGAACTTGGACTCAAAATTGTTTAACAAGAAGTTGAAAAAGAAGACAGTTGTAATTATCATGATATAATTCCTTCTTTTCATATACACTCTAGCTGAAAGACCAAGAGTACATATCAGTAAAAAAATGGCAAAAAGGCTAAAAAAAACATGCATTCAGCAAATCATGTTAATAACCAAGACAAAAAGTCAGCTTTGTAAACTTCTACTTTATTGGATTAAGAGAAATACAGTATGAGTTTTAAAAGTAACAAGAAAATATTTCAGTCTTTTATTGTAGCAAAACATTTACATCTTTCTCAAAGAGAATCATTTAAAAAGAAAAGTAACCTAGTAGAGAAATCTGAAAAAAAATCAAGAAAATAAAATTATGGACATTTTAAACACACTTGGAGAAGTTCCCTCAAAGTGTTCCCAGGATGAAAGTGACTGCTTTGTCCCCAACAACAGAGTCAATGCTGTTCTTGGATTTAAAGTCAGTATCCATCTTTAAAAACACATGGTTTCTTTCAGGAAGTCTTCCATCTTGAAGCTTTTTTACATTCTGTACAATTAAGTGGGTTCAGGCTGTAATTAAGAAATCAATAGTTCCCACTACATGGTAAGTTAAGCATCTTGAAATCGCCTGTAAAAAAAAAATCATTGGCTTGTATTTTCACCTGGCACCGAGTTTTTAAAAGTTCAGTTTCATATGCTATTGTGGTGTTTTTCAAATTATACCTTTATGTCAATGATTTCTTTTGGCTACAATAAAGAAGATAAGGCAAGAAAAACGCTGCAGTGCCATCTTCTGGGAGAACATTTAAGAAATCCCTTAATTCTAGGTCCACGGCAACAACTGACAATGTTTCTGTTTATGGAAAGAAAACCTGAGTTAGAAATGAAAATGTGTTTTTCATCCAATTTTCATTTTACTCAACCAATTAAAAGCTAATTCAGACAATAAAGTGTTAGAACTAAGAAGAAAATAGCCTGTTCAATCCACAGATTACTTTATGATTTTAATAGCTTCTTAATGCACCCTTTCTAGAACCCTATGAAATTTATTTTATTATACTACTGGAGTTACCATTTCATTGCTAGATTACTACATTATTTTTCAATAGACTTCTATTCTCTAAAGAAAAATACAATCATTTGAATACTGTTTTAATGTTAGGACTATACTGTAGCTAACATATAAAGACTGCTTGCTAGAACAGGAAAAACCATTAACTGCTGGATAACATTTTTAAAAATTGGCACCTTTCTATTATGAAATTTTCATATTATTAATAAGCACAAATCTATTTTCATGACTACTACCTTTTCTTCTAATTGCAAAGGTGCTCTAATAAACATTTTCAATGTTAAGGAATTTTTTTCTAACATTTTTGTAAAGATAACTATATAGTTTTATGATTCTATTACTCCTCAACAGATATGTGCTCTCCCGGGAAGAGAAGGGTGACACCTGAGAACCACATTTCCAATAAACATGCATTTAGTCTTACAACT